ACACAAAGTACACAGGCAACAAGAGCGCCATGAATGCATGGTACCTCACATTTCAATACTAACGTTGAATGTAAATGGTATAAAAGTTCCACTTAAATGATACAGAACTGCACAATGTATAGGAACTCGCCAACCAACAATCTGCTGCCTTCAGGAGACTCATCTAACACATAAGGACTCACATAAACTTAAAGTAAAGGGGTGGAAAAGGCATTTCATGCACATGGACACCAAAAGTGAGCAGGAGGAGCTATTCTTATATCAAACAAAACAAACTTTAAATTAACAGCAATTAAAAGAGGCAAAGAGGGATGTTATATAAGGGTAAAAGGACTTGTCCAACAGGAAAGTATCAATCCTAAATGTATATGCACCAAACACAGGAGCCCATAAATTTATAAAACAATTACTAATAGACATAAGAAATGAGATAGACAGTAACACAATAATAGTGGGGGACTTCAATACTCCACTGACAACACTAGACAGGTCATCAAGACAGAAACTCAACAAAGAAACAATGGATTTGAACTATACCCTGGAACAAATAGACTTAATGAATACATACAGAACAGTTCATCCAACAACTGCAGGATACACATTCTATCCCACAGCACATGAAACTTTCTCAAATAAACCATGTGATAGGCCACAAAACAAGCTTCAATAAATTTAAGAAAATTGAAATTATATCAAGCACTCTCTCAGACCACAGTGGAATAAAACTGGAAATTAACTCCAAAGGAACCTTCAAAACCATGCAAATACACGGAAATTAAATAACCTGCTCCTGAATGATCACCTGGTCAAAAACAAAATCAAGATGGAAATTTAAAAATTCTTTGAACTGAACAACAATAATGACACAGCCTATCAAAACCTGTGGGATACAGCAAAGGTAGTGCTAAGAGGAAAGTTCATAGCCCTAAATGCCTACATTAAAAAGACCAAAAGAGTGCAAACTGACATTCTAAGGTCATGCCTCAAGGAACTAGAGAAATAAGAACAAACCAAACCCAAACCCAGCAGAAGAAAGGAAATACCCAAGATCAGAGCAGAACTAAATGAAATTGAAACAAAAAATATATATAAAAGATAAATGAAACAAAAAGCTATTTCTTTGAAAAGATAAATAAAATTGATAGACCATCAAAAAGATTAACCAAGAAAGAAGAGAGAAAATAACCTCACTAAGAAATGAAACAGGAGATATTACAACGGACACCACTGAAATACAAAAGATCATTCAGGGCTACTCTGAACACCTTTATGTATATAAACTAGAACACCTAGAAGAGATGGATGAACTCCTGAAAAAATACACCCCTCCTAGCTTAAATCAGGAAGAATTAGATACACTGAACAGATCAATAACAAGCAGAGATATTGAAGTGGTAATTAAAACAATACCGACAAAAAAAAGTTGAGAACTGGACAGATTCACAGCAGAATTCTACCAGACCTTCAAAGAAGAATTGGTACCAATCCTGTTGACATGATTCCACAAGATAGAGAGAGAAGGAACCTTCCCTAATTCATTCTATGAAGCCAGCATCACCCTAATACCAAAACCAGAAAAGGATATCACCAAAAAAGAAAACTATAGACCAATATCCTTGATAAAATCCTTAACAAAATATTAGCGAACCAAATCCAAGGACCTATCAAAAAGATAATCCACCATGATCCAATGGGTTTCATACCAGGGATGCAGGGGTGGTTTAACATACACAAGTCAATAAATGTGATACACCACATAAATAGAATTAAAAGCAAAAATCACATGATCATCTCAATAGATGCTGAGAAAGCATTTGACAAACTCCAGCACATCCCTTTATGAATAAAACTCTCAGCAAAATTGGCATACAAGGGACCTACCTTAATGTAATAAAAGTCATCTGTGACAAACCCACAGCCAACATAATACTGAATGGGGAAAAGAAGAATTCCCTCTGACAACTGTAACAACACCAGGATGCTGACTCTCAACACTCCTCTTTGATATAGTACTGGAAGTCCTAGCCAGAGCAATCAGATGAGAGAAAGAAATAAAGGGCATTAAAATTGGTAAAGAGAAAGTCAAACTGTCACTGTTTGCTGACAATATGATCATTTACCTTGAAAGTCCTAAGGATTCCTCCAGACAGTTCCTAGAATTGATAAAAGAATTCAGCAAAGGTTCTAGATACAAGGTTAATGTACACCAATCAGTAGCTCTTCCATACACCAACAAATCAAGAGAATCAAATCAAGAACTCAATCCATTTTACAATAGCTAAAAAACAAACTAAAATAAAATGCTTAGGAATATACCCAATCAAGGAGTTCAAAGACCACTACAAGGAAAACTAAAAAATACTGCTGAAAGAAATCAAAGATGACATGAACAAATGGAAACACATCCCATGCTCATGGATGAGTAGAATCAATATGGTGAAAATGACCATACTGCCAAAAGCAATTTACAAATTCAATGCAATCCCCATCAAAATACCACCAACATTTTTCAAAGAATTAGAGGAAAAACATTCTAAAATTCATGTGGAACCATAAAAGAACCCACATAACCAAAGCAAGACTAAGCAAAAAGAACATATTTGGAAGCATCACACTACCTGATTTCAAACTATACTATATGGCAATAGTCACCAAAACAGTGTGGTACTGGTATAAAAAACAGGCACATAGGCCAATGGAACAGAATAGAGAACCCAAAAATAAGCCAAAATACTTAAGTCAACTGATCTTCGACAAAGCAAACAAAAACATAAAGTGGGGAAAGGATGCCCTTTCAACAAATGATGCTGGGATAATTGGCTAGCCACATGTAGGAGAACAAAACTGGAGCCTCATCTCTCACCTTATACAAAAATCAACTCAAGAGGGATTAAGGATTAAAACCTAAGACCTGAAACTATAAAACTTCTAGAAGATAACAGGAAAAACCCTTCTAGATACTGGCTTAGGCAAGGATTTCATGACCAAGAACCCAAAAGCAAATGCAAGCCAAACAAAGATAAATAGCTGGGACCTAATTAAACTGAAGAGCTTTTGCATAGCAAAAGGAACAGTCAGCAGACAGACAGCCCACAGAGTGGGAGAAAATCCTTACAATCTATACATCTGACAAAGGACTAACATCCAGAATCTACAAAGAACTCAAACAAATCAGTAAGAAAAAAACAATCCCATCAAAAAGTGGGCTAAGGACATGCATATACCATTCTCAAAAGAAGACATACAAATGGCCAACAAACATATGAAAATGCTCAACATCACTAATGATCAGTGAAATGCAAATCAAAACCACAATGCAATACCACCTTACTCCTGCAAGAATGACCATAATCAAAAAGTCAGAAAACAGTAGATGTTGGCATGGATGCAGTGAACAGGGAACACTTCTGCTCTGATAGTAGGTATGTAAACTAGTACAGCTACTATGGAAAACAGTGTGGAGATTCCTTAAAGAATTAAAAGTAGAACTACCATTTGATCCAGGAATCTCACTACTGGGTATCTACCCAGAGGAAACGAAGTTATTACTTGGAAAAGATACTTGCACATGCATGTTTATAGCAGCACAATTAATAATTGCAAAATCGTGGAACCAACCCAAATGCCCATCAACTGAGTGGATAAAGAAACTGTGGTATGTATATACACAACGGAATTCTACACAGCCATAAAAAGGAAAAGGATTAACAGCATTTGCAGTGACCTGGATGAGACTGGAGACTATTATTCTAAGTGAAGTAACTCAGGAATGGAAAACCAAACATCCGTATGTTCTCACTGATATGTGGGAGCTAAGCTATGAGGACACAAAGGCTTAAGAATGACATAAAGGACTTTGGGGACTTGGGGGGAAGAGTGGGAGGGAGGTGAGGGATAAAAGTCAATAAATATAGTACAGTATACACTGCTCGGGTGATGCGTACTTCAAAATCTCACAAATCACCACTGAAGAACTTATATAATCAAATACCACCTGTACCCCAATAATTTATAGAAAGACAAGTATATAAAGATCATCATTCTAGTCAGGAAATCAATCTTTCAAGCAGACCTTAGAAACATCTATAGATGTCATTACTTAATATTCAATGCTGATGAGATTGTGGGAAATCCAGAATTCTCACACAATATTGGTAATAGAATAAATTGTTACTACTCTTTAAAAGACATGTTTTAAGAGTCATCAGATTTTTCACGAATTTATCTGAATATCTCTGACAATTTACAATGAAAACAAAAGGAAAATTTATTTGTATAAGAATGTTATTTATTCTTTTTTAATGAGAAAAAATGGAAAACAATCTAAACACTGAATTATAGTTTTGAAATCTCAATAGACTATTTCAGAGCTATTAAAGTTATCATAATGACTACAGCAATATAAATGCTTTTGTTATTTTGAATAAAAGTGTTTTTGAATAAATGCTTTTGTTACTTTAAAAAATTTCATGCTGGGATTACAAGTATGCTAAAAAGTGTATATTTACATAAAAAGTGTGTATTTTTTTAAATAATAAATACCAAAAACGCAACTGGAGTTTCTACCCTTTAATGATTTCTAATACTGAAAGAAATGTTTAGTACAAAGTAGTTTTTTTTTTTTTTTGAGATGGTGTCTTGTTCTGCTGCCCAGGGTAGAGTACAGTGGCACTATCTTGGCTCACTGAAACCTCTGCCTCCTGTGTTCAAGCAATTCTCCTGCCTCAGCCTCCTGAGTAGCTGGGATTACAGCTGCATGCCACCATGCCCAGCTAATTTTTGTGTTTTTTTTAGTAGAGATGGGGTTTCACCATGTTGGCCAGGCTGGTCTCTAACTCCTGACCTTGTGATCTGCCCACCTTGGCCTCCCAAAGCGCTGGGATTACAGGCATGATCCACCATGCCCAGCCAGTACAAAGTAGTTTTAATCAAACAAACATTGCACAAGACATTTAATTTTAAATAAAATTTTTAAAAACATATCTCAAAATGTCACATACCTTTGGATATACTTCAAATATGGTGTATAGTCTATTACAGCAGGAAAGCTGCCATCCAGTCCCTCTCCCTTTAGGCAGAAACTAATACAACAGAAAATAAATATTTCATGTTAATACATAAAATTTTAAACCAAAGTTAAGTTTTATGAAAAATCTCTTGCCAGAGACGTTTCTCTCATCAAACTGCGAGTGAATTTTTTGTTTGCAATTTAATTATTACTTGTCACAAATAAATACCTGAATAAAATATTCTACCTTCAATACCAGTGACAAGGCACTGTACAAATCAATACACTGTCAATGGGTTACATTAAACAATTAACATTCTTATCCCAGTTTTTTTTTTTTTTTTTTTTAGACAGAGTCTTGCTCTGTCACCCAGGCTGGAGTGCAGTGGCGCGATCTCAGCTCACTGCAGCCTCTGTCTCCCAGGTTTCAGTGATTCTCCTTCCTCAGCCTCCTAGGTAGCCGGGATTACAGGTGCCTGCTGCCACGCCCAGCTGATTTTTGTATTTTTAATAGAGTCAGGGTTTCGCCATGTTGGTCAGGCTGGTCTCAAACTCCTGACCTCAGGTGATCTGCCTGCGTTGGCCTCCCAAAGTGCTCGGATTACAGATGTGAGCCATATTGTCTGGCCAGTTTTTTTTTAAACGATAAAACAGCAAACAAATGAACAAAAACAAGCCTGTAAAACATTCATTCAGACAGAGCCAGTGACATGGGATATAAAAAGTTAACATCCATAAAGGAATCAAAAAGACAATCTTCACATTCCATTTATCATGTTCATCCTCAAAAATTAAGCGAATTAACCTAATACAAGCTTATTAAATCTTAATACAGTTAGACTTATAAAATGACAAATGTTTAGAAAAGGGAGTGCTTTACTAAAAACAATAACTTCAGTGATAATGAGCAGCATTAATTTATCAAGACCTAAAAGTGGAATTTCACTTTTCTTACACTTACTTTGTTAATATTCCTGAATTTTTAAATGTTATATTTCAATAAAAATATAATATTTCCTTCATTCCTTGTGTTTGCATTTTCTTATAGACAAACCTTTTATTTTTAATACAATGTAAAATCTGGGATCAATTAAAGAAATGCAAAAAATGTGTCTATAAATCAAAAAATAACTTATATTGCCCATTTTTAGCACTTGTTATTTCAGTGTGGAACCAGTTCATCTTGCTAATAAAAGTAAATTTTAACAATATTATTTGATATTCTTGATACATAACATAAGAGACATAAGATACCCAAGATAGCCTGTCAGGATATTTTTTATCTCAACACATGAGATAATGAGAATCTTTCTGGCTTTGAAACTACGTTTAGTCTATTTCTTTTCATTTTAAAGCAGTAGCTGAAAAATACTAACAGATAAGATTCAAAGCCTTCTTTCATTGGGGAAGCTGGGTGTTGAGGAATGAGATATAGTCTAAGCTTTCTTTTTATTCAAGCTACAGAGCAAGCCTATCAAATTGTTAAGTTTCAGGTAGTCTCTTTTCTGAGAGGAAACCCATTTAGAAAAAACTGTCATTTGAGAGAGAACAACATGAATCAAATAACAATATCCAGCTGTGTGCTTTACTTAGAAAACTGAAAGAAAAAAATCATAAGTAGAAATTATTAAGATGTAGAATAATTTAAAAACCGAATGCATTTGGTTATATTAAGTACCTGAAATCAATAGCATTGAGTCCTAGCAGCATACCAGCAAGCATATTTGCTTCTTCACCCAAGACAATTGCTCCATCTTCATAAAATCTCCTAAAAAATGAAATGGTGAATATATAAAATGTTAAAAACAAATGGAAGTTGGATGAAGAGAAATCATTTAGGGCCCAAACTATTGTAGGAAGAGTTCAATTTTGTTTAATTTATATTTAAACAAAACATATTTCCATCACTTAAGTTTTAAAGATATTTATACTAAAATAAAGAGACATAAAAAGAAACCCTGACCTAACCAAAACTTGCCAATATAACAGAAATAATTCTGCTTCCAACTCTCCTAAAAGGAATCCCCAAAGTGACTCTTTCAATGGGCCTAGAGTGCCAGCATTTTTCTTTAATAGTGAAGCAATATAAATATAAAGTGAAAGGTGGCAAATTCAGAGTTATTTGTACTGATCTATTTTCAAAACTAAGTAGATGAGTGCTAAAAATAAAAATAATTTCTGTTTTTCTATAATTCCAAAGGTTATAGACTAGATTAAGAACTTGGGAGGTGCACTCATTAGTAATTTATGCTAATGTTAACAGCGGAATCCTAATAAAGCAGATGGGCTACCAAAGTGGCTGTATATGAAAAAGAAAGTATTCATTATCTCCTTGACAAAAATGGGAATGGGAATGTATCTTTGCTAATTCCTGTAAAGCCTTTTGTTTTGGTTATCATTAATTTTTAAAATATTTTGAAAAGAAAAATCATAATGTGTGTCTAAGTTATTTTTCTAAAAAAGAATGTAAAATCATTTAATCTACTTCTTTTTAAATGTAGCACTGTGTAAAAACTAATTTATATCAGTAGCCGGGGATGATTTGCATTATATATAAGAGAGCTGTGTCTATTTGTATTACATATAAGACAGTGAATACCACTCTATGCCATCCCACTAAATAAAATGAAACATTTTAGTAAAGGTCTTGCTCTTTTCAGTATTTCTGAGTTTATAAATTCTGCAAAAAACGTAATATGCTCATAATCCTACCACCGATTTTGAATTGTTGCCCACAGTTTACCAAGTACCTTTACAAACATTATTTGATACTTTAAAAAAAAAACCCCATAAATTAAATGCAGATGGAATCATCATTAGTTTCAAATTTACCATTAAGAAAAGTATAACATTAAAACAATTTGCACAAGTTCATGTTAAATGAATTGCTTAAGAAAGTCAACAAATTCTTCTTTCTTTAATTCCTATATCTTCTATTAAGCCTACTTTTTGTAAAACAAAAATATGTAAAAAGAACTCAACATATGGTATAGTTCATAAGAAATATTAAATGAACAAAAATTATAAAACAGAAAAAATAGACAACTATTTACTCCCTGACAGATGTAAGGCTGCAAATGAATATGGTGGGGAGACTAGCTTGGAATAAATGTTTTCTGTTTCTTAAGACTTACTAAAATCGTTTTTAATGTTTATAAATAAAGAAAAACGAAAACTTCCAGCCTAACAAAGATTAGTAAAATAAATGGAAGAATTTTTTACATCTTTACTGAGGTGTTTTGCAGAAAGATAAATATATTTAGACAAATACATATGTCTGAGAGTTTGTCCCTGGTCCAATAGCTAAGTTGGCTATTGGCAGATCATATTATTAACTCCTGGAAGAACTATGCTTCCAATGGTTTCAGACCATTACATTCTATGAGACATATGAATTTAGAAAAAAATTCTGTTTTCTGACACTGGAAATAGCTCATTATTCCTAGTACTTCTTATATAAGAAAAGGTCTACATTTTTTTATTCCTCATCTTCAACCCATCATTGTTTAAAAAATACATTCTAAAATCAGCTCAAAACTATTGTTTCTTGCTTTCTACCGTCACCTTGTATTAGGGAGCACTGAAGAACACCACATCAAAAAATTAACTAGTTTCAGATATATTTTAAAATCTAAAGGTCTTTTATATGTGTGTTCATACAGTAAGGTTTTAATGAGATTTTGGCTTTAGTTTTACTCCTTAGTAAATAAGTAAATTTTCTAAGCTAATGATTTAAGCTAAGTAAAATGCTTGCTATATGTAAAATCAGTAATTCCACTGAGAAAAAAGCATATCTTAAGCATAAGGCCTGATTTACTGTAACAAAAACAGAGGAAAGGAAAAATGGAAGAGGAAAGGCTAGTTAAGAGGACTGCCCATTATATGCCGAACTTTAAAATTATTAGTTCTGCTTAAGAAAAAATTATGTTTTAGAAAATGTACCTCTAAGTTTGAGGTAATATATTTTAAAATAATTCAGTATTTAGAAAACTGAATTGATTCTGAGAAGATTGTATTATCATTTAATTGAAGACTTCATGTGTATGAAAGAGGTAGAAGATGTCTTGAAAAATTAATTTATTCTCTTATGCAAACTAGTATACTAATAATTTAACTAAAAGTCTGATTCCTGTGGTCAATACTTTCAAAGATTCCAAAAGATAGTAAAATTTCAACCTTTTCATTTTACCTCACTGAAAAATTGGAACATTAATCTTTGCTTACATAACCAAGGTCATACAATAAATGAGCCATGAGTAAAGCCTGAGATGACTAATCCAATAATAGTCAGGTATATAAATTCCCTTTTTTTAGTTAAAAATACTTTTTAATCTAAGGAAAATATTTTTATGCCAGGCCTGGTGGCTTATGCCTGTAATCCCAGAACTTTTGGAGGCCATAACAGGCAGATATCTTTGAGCAACAGGAGTTAGAAATCAGCCTGGGCGACATGGCTACAAAAAATAAAAAAAATTAGCTGGATGTGGTGGCCCTTGACTGCAGTTCCAGCTACTTTGGAGACTGAGGTGGGAAGATTGCTTGAGTCAGGCAGAGGTTGCAGTGAGCTGAGATGGCCCCACTGCACTCCAGCCTGGGTGACAGAGCAAAACCCTTTCTAAATATATATATTTATATACACATACATACACACACACACACACACACACACACACACACACAGAGAGAAGAATCTAAATAAAGCATTGTACTGCTTACTTTCAACATATAAATATTGAAAGTATTAAAGTAAAAAAATATATCTGAAACTTCCATTTAAAGATTTACATACTAGAGACTATATCTTTAAATATAATTTTTGCATTTCAGAAATGTGGAAAAATTATAAGCAACTATTTGATATTACTGTGATCTGGGAAAAAAAACCTTCCTGATCTTATTAGGTATACCACCCTTACCAAGCATTTATATGTTGCTTAGAAAAATATTAGTGACTAGAAACGTATTTAAAATAATGTCCTTATAAGAATATGCTTTTCTTTTACCACACATAATTTAACTCTAATTGAAATATATTCCTATAATGCCACCTCAGTGTCCATTCTGTAAGAATACTTTAAGGCATTTTAAGTCGTCCAATAACAAATATCCTTTGGATGGGATCCAAGGTGAACAATCACTAAAAATTATGCTGATAATACCTAATATCCTGCTTCAAATTTTCCTTTTGTGGGAGTCAGAGGTTATTCTATATACTTGAAAGTGCAATATTAAAATACAAGAAAGCTTGTCTTATAATCCAAAGAAATTTCATTATTGGTGTGCTAATTCTCTTCCCCAATTTAATGTAAGAAACTACTAGGAGGGGATATAAGAAAATTATCCTTCATGACAAATAAGACAGATTCTTGCATTATAAATAGATGTCATATTCAAAGTCAAATTGAATAAAAATGAAAAACTGGGCCGGGCGCGGTGGCTCATGCCTATAATCCCAGCACTTTGGGAGGCCGAGGCAGGTGGATCATGAGGTCAAGAGATCAAGACCATCCTGGTCAACAAGGTGAAACACTGTCTCTACTAAAAATACAAAAATTAGCTGGGCATGGTGGCGCGGGCCTGTAGTCCCAGCTACTCGGGAGGCTGAGGCAGGAGAATTGCTTGAACCCAGGAGGCGGAGGTTGCGGTGAGCCAAGATCGTGCCATTGCACTCCAGCCTGGGTAACAAGAGCGAAACTCGGACTCAAAAAAAACCTGGTGAAAAAGTCAACTTCCAAAGGTCTTGCCAAGAATGTGAGATTCAGCAATTATTTAAATCAACAAATATATATTAAATTCCTCTTATGTGACAGGAACTGTGCTAGTTACTATAGTTACAACAGTAAATAAGTTAGATTTAGATCTTCTCTATGGAGCATATAGTCTAGGGGAATAGAAAAGGAAGAAACAAGAGAAAAAGATAATTACAGATGATGATAAATATAAAGTAAATAAACAGGTTGTTGAAGTAGAGATAAATGGAAGGAAAGCCCAATTTTGGAAAGTCATTAAGTAAGGCATTCTCAAGTGTTTAACCCGACACCCTAGCTCACAGAAGTCCAATCACACAGGAATCTATAGGCCATACAACAGTAATAATAATAATAATGAACACTCACTGAGTAGCATAGTAATAACTTTACATGAACCATCTTCTAAACTTTGCTGCTATTATTCTCCAGAGAGATTAAGCAACTTGTTCAGGATAGACACAGCTAGAGCAGGGAAGCCAGGGTTTGACTCCAGGAAACGTGACAGCAACAGAGCCTTCTGGTTAGTAATAATAAGGTATCATTTCAATGTTTTAAGTGGGAGTTGACATAATCTCTTTTACTTTTAAGGTAAATAAGTAGATTCAAAATAGATTTTGGAGGTAGGATCAATAAGACTTGTTTATGGATTGATTACAGGGTATGAGGGGAACAAGGAATCAGGTATGATTTTTAGATTCTCAGTTAATCAACTATGTAGGTAGACAGTGATATCATTTGCTAAGAAGGGGTGATCAGAGTTACAGGGGAAAAAATCAGTATATCTGAACTATTTAGCTAGAGGTTTAAATGTGGCATCATGATCATATAGATGGCATTTCAAACCAGGGGAATGGATGAAACTCCAGGAAGAGAGAAAAGAGAGAAAAATGAACAGAGGAAAAAACAGCAGACAGTGCAGGACTGAGCCCAGAGAATACAGACAGTCAGATGTTGTTAAGTGGAAAAGATGACAGAAAAAGAGACAAAGCAATTAAGGAAAAGCCATGGAATGTTGTGTAATTTAAAGGTGAAGAGATTTTTTAAAAAATGATGAAGCAGTCAACTTATACTGGGAGTAGCTGGGCGATGGAGTACAATGCAAACAGAGAAACATCCATTACATTGGGAAGCTTGTAGATTATCAGTGTTCTTTTAAAAATTCTTGGTGGAGTGGTGAGGGCCAGAAGCCAGACAAGAGTGGATAAGAGGGTGACTCTAAAGTAAGAAAATGATGACAGTGTGAAGAAATGCTTGGGAGAAGTCTGGTGATGAAGCAGAATTAGAAAATGAGCAATAGCAGAGGGGAATATAGGTCAATGGAGAATCTTTCTCTTTTTAAGGTGGGAGCATATGTTCTGTAAGGGTGGGATTGATCCAGCAGTAGTAAAGAGATTGAAGATGAGGAGACAAAGATTTGGTAACTAAGGAAGAGGGGAATCACATGCTATCTGGTCTTTTGTGACTGGCCTTTTTGCTAAGCTTAGCAGATTTTCAAGGTTCATTCGTGTAGCAGCATGGATCAATACTTTATTTCTTTTTATGGCTGAATAATATCCCACTATATGGTTATAGCCACAATACACCTAGGAGTCATGTGCTGGGTCATATGGTAACTCTATGTTTAACCTTTTGAAAAATTGCTGGACTCTTTTTTAAAGTGGCTGCACAATGTTCTTTTCCCACCAGCAACACATAAGAGAATCAGTTTTTCAAAATCCTCACAAAGATTTGTTATTAAGTGATCTTTTGAACATACCCATCCTAGTTAGTATGCAGTGGTATTTCATTGTGGTTTTGCATTTCCCCAATGGCTAACGCTGTCAAGCAACATTTTAGTGTTTATTAGACATCTGTATATCCTCTTTGGAGAAGTGTCTATTCAGATTCATTGCCCATTTTTAAATGAGTTGTCTTTTTATTAATGAGTTGTAAAAGTTCTTTATATACATTGTAGATCCAAAACCCTTATCACAGGGGTCCCCAAGTGCTGGGCCATGAACCAATACCTGTCCCTGGCCTGTTAGGAATTAGAGCTGCACAGCAGGAGGTGAGTGGTGGGCCACTGCACATTATCGCCTGAGCTCTGTCTCCTGTCAATCAGGCATTAGATTCTCATAGGAGTAAGAACTCTGTTGTGAACTGTACATATGAAGGATCTAGGTTGCATGCTCCTTATGACACTTTAATTAATGCCTGATGATCTGAGGTGGAACAGTTTCATCTTGAAACCTGTCCTGCCACCAAGGTCCGTGGAAACACTATATTGCACAAAACCAGTCCCTGGTGCAAAAAAGGTTGGGGACCACTGCCTTATCAAATAATGATCTGTAAAAATTATCTCCCATTCTGTTGGTCATCTTTTCACCTTCTTAATGGTGTCCTTGCACAAAGTTTTAATTTTTATTATGTTCAATTTATCTTTTTTCTGTTGTTCTTTTTACATTTGGTATGATACTTAGGAAACTATCATCTAATCCAAACATAGATTTACATCTATGTTTTGATTTACTTCTATGTTTTCTTCTAAGGGTTTTACTAAGTCTGATTAATTTGGAGTTTATGTGCTGTGAGGTAGCAGTTCACAAGTACCTTTTAATAATATTTATCTTCTATCTTAATAATGTAAACTTTAGCACATATTTGATTCCAAAGTGCATTCTTATCTCTTAAAAGATTTTGGCTACTAATTACTATTCTGTCTACTTTTCTATAATTGATAAAAGTGTTTGTCAACTCATTTTTTCTTTGTGACAGCTCAGTAATTTACAAAGTTTTATTTTATACTTTACTCCTTCCTTCAAATGTGCTGAAACATTGCGAAAATTAACATTTCGTTGGAACACAACTTTTTCATTATAAATTACTGTGATATAATTGCAAAGTAAACAAATGAGTTTCCATAAAGCTAATTTATCTTTACTCTTTTCCAGAATTATTTCTTCAAATTCTTGTTAAATTTTCAATTTTGTTTGAAATATCACATGTGTATTTTTAACTTAAATTTGCTAATTATTTTTTAGTCTGTGGGTAAAGAGAAACTAAAAATTTGAACAAGTTAATTCAGTTTTTACTTTACTTCTTATCTGAAGGTCTTCCCAGTAACCTACTAAAACAAGTCTCTCTCTCTTTTCTTTTTTTTAGCTTAAATTCTAATCATTACTCTGCCAACTTCCCAACTCTGGCTATTTTCCAATTATACCCCAATACCTAAGCCATGTAACACTTCACAGTTTTTGTTTGTTTTTTCAACTGCTCATTAAGGCGTCCTACACCTTAGCAAAAGGATCACATGAAATTTTCTCAATGCTTTGGAGCATAGTCATGCACTCAAAATTTATTTTATCTCTACTCCCACCTTTCCTCCACCCAAACTTATCCTTGGGTTTTCATCGAATAGCGCTTTCGAGCCTGCCTGCCTGCTTTAGTTCATGTAGCTCCTCCTCTGGCACTGGGGTAAACACCTGTATTACCATTTTAAAGGCTATCATTACTCTTTATCTGTGAAGAGTAGAACATGAAGAAACTTACTTTATTTTGATATTCTCCAGATTCCTAAAGATTAGAGATCATTTCTCATTCTTCTAGGAATACTTACTTCAGGAAGAATCCAGATAAAAGGTAAGGTACAAATACTCTTTCTAATATTTTGTTTGCATTTTACAAATCTAATCTTATGAATATATTTGTCTTGACTAGAAGTTTGCAATCAAATTTAATTGGAATTAAGAAGTTTCTTTGGTTTCATCTCAGTAAAAAAAATAGTGTAAATAGGGGAGAAACAAAAGATTTTTTTCTCCACATTTTTTAGTTAACTTCTAAGATTAAAAACTCTGAAATAACTCCCTACTTACTTCCTTTCGTAAGAGCTACAAAGCCATTGTATTCTATTCACATTTAAATCCTATTATTCAATAAATGTGTATGTGTAGATACATATATATGAACATTGTACACTAAGCCTTGTTTCTGTTTGAAGAGTGTATGGTTATGCATTGTTACCAGAATATTTTTACTCCATGTACTTTTTTAGAGCTGAATCATTTCCTTTCTATGGTTCTTAAGCATGGTTAACACTTAAGAACAAGGCAGAAAGCATTTCCCTTTGAATATTTAAACTACTTGCTCTAAAAATAATCTATTCAAGAATTATTTCTACCCCTCCCAATCATTTAAACTTAGAAACAAGACTAACAATTTAGAGAAAATATTAATGATTTAATTTCTATTTGGAAAAGACTATCATAACTTTGATTCAATATGGTAATTGCATAGGAAATGACTACTATGCAAACTTGATTTTGATTTCATTAATATAGAATTTTTAGATTTGAGCTACTAGATTCTGATACTATTCTTTGTTTTCATTTTCAAGCCTTAGTATCCTCAATACTTATTATCTTTCATAATGAAACTTACTAGTAATGATAAACAATTGCTGTATTTTATAAAGTGAATTTTGAATGCCTAAGAGTTTATCATTATCTCACTGTTTATCTTTAGAAATATCTCAAGAGTGTCATGTTGCTTGAAAAGAACTCATTAAATATATATCAGATTTACTCTATGCAAATATTTCTTTTAGCTAAAAGTCTTTCTATCCTGGTCCAACTTATAATTACGACAATTCTTTGTATCTCAAAATTAAAAGTTTACTATTATATTACCAATAAAGATCGCGGCAACTAAATGAAGATACTTAATTAGTACCAGCTAGTTAACTGAAAGAATGTGCATAATTAATGCCCAAATTTTCTCAAAATCCAGAATGTCAAACACTGCATTAGGATATGGAAGTTAAGATCTCAGAAATGGGACTTGTTTATGCTTATTTTTTTCTATCGAAAGTAGTTCATAGTTGTAAGCATTTCTTTTTCTTTCAGAAATATGATTAATGAGATAGAAAAAAGAACGGTAATTTAGAAATATCTCAGGTAGCTCTGCCCAATAGAACCTATTGTGATGAGGAAAACACTCTAAATTTGTTTGATTGTATAACCATTAGCTACATGTGGCTATGGGACATCTGAAATGTGATACAGTATTTAAGAAACTAAATTTGTAATTTTATGTGATATTAATTTTAATTTACATATGGCTTCTTAGTGGCTACTACATTAAACAGTTTAAATTATTAAAATCATTAAATATTTTCTTTTACAAATACTTTTGATATGGAGAAAAAGTGGCTTCTTCAACAGCTAAAAATAAACATCAGTAGATGAGCACTATAGGAATGACTGTTGTCCTAATATGTACCTTTTTTCTACCATCACAAAAAATTAACAAAGTCCTATCTTTCACATGGCAAGGATGTCATCTTTATACAATCCAAGAAAAACAATGGTTTAGATTGTCCTAAAAAGACAAGCAATCATTAATGATACATATGAATTAAAGAAGTTAAGTATTAATTTATATTCTTTGAAGGCAAAAAAAATAAGCAAATATTGGGTGGTGAAAAGAGAAGAGATTCTATTGAAATTTCATAGTTAAATCTTCAAATCCATCAGGGAACAGTCTATGGGGAGAATGAAACTTCAAGAGTTGAAAGAGTATGAATCAGAAATTATTTAGAAAAAGAATATTCCAGGCATACTGTGCATCTTTTTACAGAAAGGTAGATAGATGTCTAATTGACAAATTATATTTTCCTAAGAAGACAGATTTATCTGAGGAGTAAGAAAAGGAGGAAATAAAATGGTTGAGGACTTTAGAAGTTGGTTCTTTATCCTATTCTGATTTCTAAGTCTTTAGACGATTCTTTCAAATATATATTAGAGAATTAAAAGGACTTTTAAACCTGGTTGTTTTGAAGTCTCTCAGAGCTGTAGAGATGTATTCAGATAAATGTTTTTCCATGAGTGCTACTCTGATCCAGGCTCTACCCTAAAAGGAAGAAGAAAGAATCAAATATAAAAAAATTAAAAAAAATATTTTGCCACTGTGCCATCAAAAATATAAGTATTTTAATATGTAAAGAACAGCTATTTAAAATACACACTTGATAATGACTAGGAAAAATATTTAGGTAGATAAAATAGGTAAATTTTGATTACCTACAGTATATATTTTATTTCTCTGAAGATGTAGGGTACAACATGTCAAACTAACTTTGAAGGGACAGAACATTAATACTGAGTTACCTGGGTTAGAGATTCTTTTGAATTACCTAATGTAATTATATAAGACAAAACTCTCTACTTCAAAACCCCACATCAACATGCTAACTAAAATGAGCCCTCTCATAAATAATGAAAAACGGACTTCTCACTCGTTAATAAAAATAATCAGCCTAACATAGCTTAAGAAAATTTTCAATCCTATGCTTCCCACGGGAGGTTTTATACAACTAGGAATAAAATCCAAATTTCATGATTTATCATGAATCCAAATCATGAGCTATTGAATTTGGTGCACCCAGAGAATTCTAAAAACTATTATGAAATAGTTAAACTAGAAAAACAAACAACAACAACAACAAAAAAACAGAAGCCAATATATTCTAGCACAGAATCACAGAAACAGACAATTCTTACTAAATGCAATTAATTTTCTTATGGACTTTCTATTTAGAATGAAAGAATATAAGAAATCATATTTGTAGTGAAAATTTTATAATTCAATTATTTTCATTTTCACTCAACTCATAAATCTCTAAAAAAAACTTCATCGAGACAATATATAGAAAATCAAAACAGTGCAATGGCAGTTGCAAATAAAGGTGATGCTAATCAATATATGTGATTGTCAACTACCAGAACAGGGGAAAAAAACATACTCTAGAAACGTCTACAAGTCTAGTGAATTCACCAAACTCTTGGATGGGAAAGGTCACGAAGGAATCAATCTAGGCAGTGGTTAAAATCTGTTGGGCTAGAGGCAGCAGTACTACTACTGGGAAGAAAATGAATGATATGGGTGTGTTTAGCATGCCAGTCAATTTGCCTATCAAGCTCAACATTGCTTTTAGCTTGCCCTGTGCTCAGTCCATTGTCCATTCTGAGTAAGCCTAGGGGAACCTACAGTTAGCTGTTGCTGACTGGAACAGAGGAAGGAAGAGGCAAGTCACTGGCTGGCCAGTAGTCTCAAAATTCTCTTGAAATTTTATCTAAAAGACACAGAAACTAGTAGTGGTGTCTTGAATCAAAAGGCTATAATTTCACTAATGAAGTCAGGAAAGTTGCTCTCCAGAGAAAATTCAGCACAGGAGACTATGCTGTTACTAGATAAGAAATGTAGGGAAAGTCTTCCTTCCTGATTTATTAATTTCAGTCCATACAAAACTGGGATGTGTTTAGTTTCCTGTATTTGAATGTGTATTCACATTCTGTTATATTGTGAGGATAAGTTGCGCTAATTTTAACGGTTTCTTTTCTTTAACAAAGGAACTTTTACTACAACAGAAGATAAACAGACTTATAAAGGGTGTTTGGGCCAAGAAACAGAGCAACTAAAAACGAGGTTTAGGAATTTAGACCTTTTCAGTTTATAATGGTGATCCACAAAATGAAGATTTATGAAAAATAAATAAATAAAAGTAGTTAACATTTAAAAATATAATTAATATGTGCTAAGCCCGGTTTTAAGAGCTTTATATACATTAAGAAGATAAGTAATCCTCCCAATAATTTACATTACAATACTATCCCTACTTTATGCAGAAACAAAAAACAGACACATTAGAAGGGAAGAAATTCATTTTCTCACTGTCAAACTGACCAACCTAATTACCTTAATGCCTATACACTCTACCTTCTTTCCTGTTCCAGGGAATGAACTGTCAGCATTTAAAAGAGTTATAAAAAAAAAAAAAAAAGCAGCAGCACTGAGTGGGAAAAGATATTTAAATTATAAATATCTGACAGACACCTCTTACCCATAAAATACAATGAATTCTTAAAAACCCATAAGAAAAAGACAATTTAAAAATGTGCCTGCAATGGGATGATTTTTAACTATAGATTACATTTCTTTAGCAAGTATCAGATATTCAGATGTTTCCATCCTTTTTCTGTTAGTTTTGGTGAGTAATTTTTTAAAAGAATTTTACCATTTCTTTTAAATTTTCAAATTTATATAATTGATGTGAAGTTATTCATAATATCCTCTTAGAATTTTTAATGTCTCTGAGGTATACTGGGTTGGTCTCTTCATTCATCATTCTGGTAATTTATAATATCTTTTGATCTTCTGATCTTTTGAATAGTCTTGCTAGAAGCTTATCAATTGCATTAATCTTTTTAAAAATACTTTTAGTTTGGTTGATTTTCTTCAATTGTATATTTGTTCCAATTTTATTGAATTTTTACTGTTTTTTTTTCCCTTCTACTTTGAGTTTAATGCATTTTTTATAGCTTCTTGAGATGAAAGTCTTGATCACCAATTTCCAGCCTTTATTCTTTTTTAAAATACACAAAAGCCTATTTAAGCCTATTCCTCTAAGCAGAAGTTTTTGTATGTTGTATTTTCATGATCAGTACTTTCCAAATATTTTTCAATTTCAATTGTGATTTATCATCCATGAGTTATTTAGAAGTCCTCCTCAATTTCACTCATATAAACATTTTCTAGTTATTTTTCTTGTTTATTTTTGATTCTAGCTTAACTCCACTGTGGTTAGAGAACATATTTTATATATTTTCAATCCTCTGAAATTCAGTGAGATGAATTATGGCTCAGAAAATGGTCCATTTAATATAATTCCTCTGTGCGTATAAGAAGAATGTATATCTTGCATTTTATTTGTTTTTGGTTTTTTCTTTTTTTTTTTTTTTGAGACAGGATTGTGCTTTCAGTGGTGCGATCTCAGCTCACTGCAACCTCTGCTTCACAAGCTTAAGTGATTCTCCCACCTCAGCCTCCCAAATAGCTGGGACTACAGTACAGCCTGGCTAATTTTTGTATTTTTTTGTAGAGACTAGGTTTCACCATGTTGCCCAGACTGGTCTTGAAATCCTGAGCTCAAGTGATGTGCCCACCTTGGCCTCACAAAGTGCTGCGATTACAGGTGTGACACATCACACCTGGGTTTGGAATATTCCAATAATCTAATAATTTTATGTATTTTGTTTCTCTAGTAATATTCATACTTATTTACATTTTCTTGAACCTATTATAATTGCTTAAAAGTCCATAATCCTATCACCTATAGGTTAGTTTCAATTGTCTTTTTTATTTTTCTTGATTTCTGTCATTCAATCTTGTTTCTTGATATACGTGATGATTTTTTATTATATACTGGATTTTTTATTGTATACTGGACATTCTGTATGAAAATTTATAGCAACTCTGAGGCTACCTTTCTCCAGAGTAGATTTTTCGTTTGGCAGTCAGTCAGAGTACTAGAAAATCACCTCGCACAATTTAGGGCACTACTTTTAGGTCTTTTTTTGCACTAATCTTCAGAATTTCCCTTACTCCAAGGGAATAGTCTTTCAGGGGTCTCAAGCAAAAACCTGGAGTGTTTACAGCTACCTTTCACCTTGTTTGCCTTTGATCTCTAACCTCTATCTCTCCAGAACTAGACTGAAATCGTCAGTCAGCTGTTTTACCTCCTCCCTGCTGCTTTCAGCTTTGTTTATGGGACTTTGCTTTGATCTACAGATGACTTAGAATTGGCAATGATCTCATAGGAAAACGGCATGCACAACTCCAAGAACGTTTGTCTGTTGTTCACTGGCAGTTCCAAGCTCCAACTTCTGTTTGTCTAGCCCAGGGAAATAAAAATCACCCACCTCCGCCACTTTCTGCTCAGTCTCTATACCTAGGATGTGAACAGACAAGTAACTTGAGGCTAAAGCTGTGATGGATGTGTGACTCAGCTCACGTACCATCCATCTCTCCAGGACTGTGGTCACTCAAGTTCTCATGCCTTGGTTGTTCCCCTATGTCTTAAATTTGTTGCTTCACGTATTTTATTCAACTTTTATAGTTGTTCTCAATAGCAGGTCCCTCTGATACAAGATATTCTGTTATCACTGGAACCAGAAACTGTTTTCTTACCTTTGGGATCATCTCTGTTTTAGACTCTAATCACACCCTTCTAACTAGATTATCTGCTTCTACTCCACTCCTCCCTTCGATTTAGTCTCCATATAGCACCAAGTTTCTCTCATAAAATGAAAATCAGATTAGAGTATTCTATCACTTAAAAAAGAAAAAAGAAACTCTCAAGTAGTTACCCCACTGCACTGAGAATAACATCTGAATTTTTAATCATGTTATATCTTGTATTCTGCACTTTGCTTACCCTGCTCAATATTTGCAAAGCAAATTTATTGGATGGAGGGATGCATGGATATATGGATGGCTGATGTGCCTAGCCTATTCAGAAACTGGTCTAATTCAACAAAAGAAGGAATGTATAGGATAAGCGACCAGAAACCTAAGAAAGCCAAATTTAGCTAAAAACAAGAACTGCTACTAAAAACAAAGAAAATGGTGGGAACAGTCCCTCACAAAATATGCAAGAAGACAGGAAGGACTCAGGAACAATACAAAGCTCATATTTTGGGGCCAAGAAAATGAAAAAGCAGGAAGGAGAAGGGATTTCTTGAACTTGAAATCAGTTGGAATATCATGAAATACCCAATGTAAATATCTGCAAGGCTAGTAATAGTAGTAACTAAAGATTTAACAGGGGGTGGTTTTTGTCAGAGATCATATAATATGCTTATAAGAGCAAATGCCCCAAGAGCAGATGGGGAAGATGGGTGAGTTCAGAAAAGAATGTGTTAAGTCAGTGCCTGCTGAGATAAAGTCATTTTTCTAAGAGTGCTGATTCTAGTTTAATGTTAGGCTATGTTTAAGTCTTATGAAATAGGATAAACTAGTCACAGACTTAGCAGGGAAAGGAATGGTTAACATTTCATTTTTTTTTTGTTTGTTTTTTGAGACAGTCTTGCTCTGTCACCCAGGCTGCAGTGTAACAGTGTGATCTTGGCTCATTGCAACCTCCGCCTTCCATGTTCAAGTGATTCTCCTGCCTCAGCTTCCCAAGTAGCTGGGATTGCAGGCATGCAGCACTATGCCCTGCTAATTTTTTGTATTTTTAGTAGAGACAGGGTTTAGCCATGTTGGCCAGGCTGGTCTCAAACTGCTGACCTCAGGTGATCCACTCGCCTCTGCCTCCCAAAGTGCTGGGATTACAGGTGTGAGCTACTGTGTTCATCCCACTGATCTTAACCTAGACAAAAGGATGAGACTGTCCATGGTGACAGGCTTCTACAATGTGAATCTAAGTGGTACAGTGGATTAGGACAGACAATTGTGATACAATTGTGATACAAGTGTACTATCTGTATACTGTTCACCAGGCAAATTTAGTGCTTCAGTTCTGAAATATCTTTTCACATGTGTCAAGGTTAAGATGACACTATGCTAGTAGTCATTCAAGATTGCAGCTCTAAACCTCAATAAGCCTGCCATGTGAGGCATCTGTTTAATCCTGCAATACAGACAAATGGCAGATGTGACTTACTCAGTAGTAAAGTACTCTGCTCTTTTCATTGCAATGAATAAAGACAGAGCTAATCTTTGTCCACAGAATCTTCCCAGCATAACCAGGCAACTCATAGAATTCTCTTTCTCCACTAAATGGAATCTGTCTGAGGCCTGAGCAAAACAAAGATAAATACAGGATTTGGAATATGATTGTTCTGTGGTATTTTGATACTGAACACCAGTACTTTACAAAATAAATATTAACTCTCTACTGGATAATATACTGCTGTGCAGGGATTAGTTCCAAGAGCCTTGTTAAGGGAGTTGGTCAGCTAGGGTTTGGGTTTCTTTGGTTCACCCAGGTCCAAATGCTATATTTCTAATGTCTGTTAACTTCTTAATTACTTTCTATATTTTGGGATATGCTAGTTTTAGAAATATATCCTCCTCTCTATTGAAAGGGTTTAGAATATACTGTTATGTTCCTCTCTCCTACTTTTGATTTGAAAATGTGAATGTTTATGTAGCATCTAGAATACCTTTTATAGATTTGACTAATTCAAACTACAGCTAATCTTTAATCATAGCCTAAAGAAACTTAGATATAATTGCTAAGCCATAAAGAAAACATAAAAGGAAAATGGAGGCCAGGCATGGCAGCTCATGCTGGTAATCCCAGCACTTTGGGAGTCTGAGGTGGGCAGATCACTGAAGCTCAGGGATTTGAGACCAGCCTGGCTAATATGGTGAAACTCTGTCTTTACTAAAAATACAAAAATTGGCTGAGTATAGTGGCACATGCCTGTAGTCCCAGCTACTTAGGAAGCTGAGGCCGGAGAATTGCTTGAGCCGAGAGTTGGAGGTTGCAGTGAGCCAAGACTGTGCCATTGCATCCAGCCTGGGCAAGAGAGCTAGATTCCATCTCAAAAAAAGGAAAACTGATAAACCTCAACTAAGATGAAAAGCAGAATTCACAGTTCACATTTAAAAAATCTGAAGTTAGAAAATTAGAAAGTAAACAAATGAATAAAAAATTCAGCAGTTTGAGGAAATACCGGTCAAAGGACAATAGTTGGGATGAAAAAGATATCTGTTGATATATAATAAAAACAGGATTTAGTTCTTATCCGAGGGAAAAATTTAATTAAGAAAGAAAATTTAACTATAATTAATTTAAAAATGAAAAACTTTACTGGTTTAAAAACATGTGAGACAGAGAAGAAAACTGATCCAACCTGTGAGAGTTGAAAGATAACTGAAGCAGGAAGTTCTTTGTTGCTACAAGCCCTTGGTTGAAGATTGGCAGGAGGGAGCACTGACTTTAGAAAGTGAACTTTATAGTTATAGTCTCGAAAAGACGACAAAAATCATAGCTATTAACAGTATCCAAAAATATACTTTCATATTAAGGAGGTAAAAATGTGTTACCTGTGTTTCTAATTATGTCACTAGATTTAAACATAATAGATCTTGGTTATTAAAACATATACTCAGTTTGTGCTTATAAAATATGTAATTTGAATATATCCTCATCAGTTTTGCTGAGCAAAAATTTTCCAAAAGAAAAAAAGAATCCTAAATTTAAAAATGCAAGAATAAAAAACTTGGAAATTATACTTTGGAAAGGTAATTGTTATATGTTTGGTTATTACACAGATATATAATTTATAATTGTGAAATAATAATGTCTTCATCTTCAAACATCAATTTTCAATCTTTATTTTCTACTTAATGTTTCATTCTGTAATTTCTGAATGTCAAATAGGAAAGAAAGCTACTCTGACAATTCAATAAAAAGAAATACAACTACTACATTAACGCTGATACAGGCTGAGTATACCTTTTTGAAAATGCTTGGGACAAGAGTATTTCAGATTTTGAGTATTTTCTGATTTTGGAATATTTGCATTAAATGCTCCATTTAGCATTTCTTCAAACATTATAGTGATGCTCAAAAAGTTTTGGTTTTGGGATTATTTCATATTTCACATTTTCATCTTGGGGTGGCTCAATCTGTTTGACTTAATAGATCAGACATTTTATAATCCTAAAAATTACTGAGGACCCCCATAGAAGTTTTATGTAGGTTATATCTATCAAATTGACTGTATCACAAGTCAAAACTGGAAACTAAAATATCAGGTAATTAAAAAATAACAAGTTGGTCACGGTGACTCACACCTGTAATCCAGCACTTTGGGAGGCTGCAGCAGAAAGATTGTTTGAAGCCAGGAGTTCTAGACCAGCCTGGGCAACAAAGAGAGACACCATCTCTATGAAAAACTTTAAAAATTTGCCAGGCCTGGTGGCATGCACCTGTAGTCCCAGCTACTCAGGAGGCTGAGGCTGAAGAATCACTTGAGCCTAGGGGTTGTAGGCTGCAGTGAGCTATGCTAGTGTCACACTCCAATCTGGGCAACAGAGCAAGACTCTGTCTCTAAAAAAAAAAAAAAAAAAAGCAATAAACCCATTACATGTTAACATAAATAACACATTTTTATGAAAATTAACTATTTTCCTAAACAAAAATATTGGTAAGAAAAGTATCTCTACTTTACTTTTTTTTCTAATCTCTTTAGTGCCTGGCTTAATACAAGAGAATTAGATATCTGCTTCTGCATTCCAACTATTACAATGTGTTGTTTTGGTTGAAGTATACGAAGAAAATCTAGTTTCACACAGATATATAGTTGGAAAAGGGAATCTTTTAATAGTCTTTTCAGATAAGTGTAGATATTATCTTTTGTTCTAGATCAAAACTCACTAACAAATTTTAGTAATCATATTAATTTTTTCATGCTGTAGTACATTAAATCTATTGACATATCCTACACTTTGAATTGATCTTTTTACCCATACATGATTCTGTAATTCCATAAATTGGTTGTTTGGAAAATATGAGTTATGAAGGCCTATCAAATGTTGACACATTTCTTTCAACAATTTAAAAACACATTTGTTGATATCAACATCAATGTTATCAAAAATGCTTTTATATATTGGGAAGCTATGAAGTTTAAGATGGTGAATACAAGTTTTTCAAAACTCTAGTTCTTACTTAAAAGCTTTAATTTTACCATTGGCAACAAATACTTTCAGCTGTTTCCTTGAAGTAATAGGCTCACTTCTTTCTTTCTTTCTTTTTTTTGAGAAAATATCTGCCAAATGCCTAAGTCCAAAAAATTATGGTTTATAAGTTTTTCTTTCCCATAAAATCATATTACATCAAAAGTACCTAGTTTAGCTCACAATTCAATTTTACAAGTGCTTTTCTTGAAGTAGCCATCATATTTCAGTATATTGCAGAAATGCTTTATGCATACTTTCCTTTATATTACTCAGGATATTAAAAATACAAGTCCTCAAAGGTTGAGATTAAATAAGAATTAATGTTTCCTGGATTGTAATGGTCATTCTTAAGTTAAAACTACCTTTTAAAGAAAATACTAGGAAGAATTCAAGACTACTTGCATGGTTTGATGTCACTGCATTAATTCATGCTAAGGTTCCAATAGTTTTATCCCCCATTGTGTCTGTATTGGCAGTGCAAATGTGAACACAGTGAAAAGGCAAATAACATGTTGATATTATACAAAAATACATTAGACATTATTGACCCATTAAAGAAAGGGTCTTGGGCATCTTCAGAATTCTGCAGAACATTATTTGAGAGCCACTAATTTAGATAATTCAAGAAATGTAGAAACATCACCGAATAGGAAGCATGTTATTATGCTTCTTAAGAAAAGGAAATTAATAGTAAGTAGCTTCACACCTTCCTGCTATTCCAAATACATGCCATGAAGAAAAAAATGAAAGCAAGCCTCTGACCATGTCTTACCTTAGCTCTAGAAGAACTGACATTTTCCATATTTTCAATGCTGCAGATACAATTCTGTGAAACTTTCCGGCAAGCCACTCTGATATAGTCCCAGAAGCTACGAGGACTTTCATAACCAAACCAGGTAACTTGACCTTCAGGAGACAAATTGTGATATAAAATTTTAAAAAGTAAAAGAAAACTGGACTTAAAAAGGCAAGAACAATGAAATTCTGAAAAACAAAAGTACTATAGTGAACTATAATGGAAAGGGCACCACCAATCTAGGTGTCAAAAATCTTCAAATCTAGTCCTATTCTTTTGTTAACTAGTGGTTTTACTTTAGGAAATTTACTTAATGAGTTTGGATCATAGGTTTGTCAAAAATAAAATCAAACTAAATGAAAGGGACTAGACATTAGAAATATCTTGCCATTTAACATCGTATTATCTAATACAGTCATTTAAACACTTCCTGTGCTTCTAGTTAAGCATTAATAAACATCGCCAATTGAATTCTAAACCTTTCTCTGCTTAGAAAAGCAGGGAAAAAAAACACCACCACAATTCCTTTCTCCTCTTCATAAGGATACTTCAAAAATGAATACAATGTGTGGATTATTTTATAAATAAAATCAATTAGCATCCTATATTCACTAATAATGCATAACTGCCCACCCAACTATTCTCATCTATGGAAAGCTCTCCTTTAACTGTTATTGGTTTGCTCTCTTCCAGTTAAGAACTCATAAAAACTTGTAATCTTTCAGATTTGGCTATGTATCTGTTCATGACCAAATGTTCTACTGTGTATGGGTTATATTAGTATTACCACTTCTATGTAGGCCAGGCATGGTGGTTCATGCCTGTAATCCCAGCACTTCTGAAGGCCAAGATGAGTGGATCACTTGAGTCCAGGAGTTCGAGACCAGCCTGGCCAACATGGTGAAACCCTATCTCTTCCAAAAATACAAAAATTAGCCAGGCATGGTGATGTGTGCCTGTACTACCAGCTACTTGAGAGAGGCTGAGGCACAAGAATCACTTGAACCTGAGAGGCAGAGGTTGCAATGAGCCGAGATTGAGTCACTGTATTCCAGCCTGGGTGACAGAGCAGTACTCTGTCAAAAAAAAAAAAAATTTCGATGTATGGCTTAATATTAGTTGAACGGGAAACATTTTGTACACTCAGTATTTTTAAACAGGATATGAAAGACATCATAATACTTTCTTTAGTTGTCTAGAATGATTAGTGTTCCCTAGGAAAGTTATTTAATCTTTATGTAGAAAGATTTGCTTTTATATTTTGAAACAAATGCTTTTTCATTATGAATTATTTATTTATTTTAAATAATCCCTTCCTCAGTAATTACTTCTCTATAGTAACATCAAGAAGTATTCTTGTCAGCAAGCACCATTTTCAGACCAACCTCTGAGATAATATCTGAATGGCTCCAAACCATGGTAGAATATCAGTGTAACTGGACTGCTTTTTACAAATACTCATGTTTAGCCTCCCCACAAACTGAATAATCAAAACCTTTAGAAGAGGACGTAGGCATTTGAATTTTTTTAAATCTTCCCCTAGTATGTGTAGTGAGGTACTTATTATTAATCAACCAATAGAAATCCTACAAGTTATGATAGGGAACTCCTATTCATCATTCAGGGTGTTTTAAAGGTCTCCTCTTCCAAAAATCCATGCATGATCTCATAAGTTAGTCCCTCTGTTGGCACAGCACCCTGTGCTTACTTCTCCTCAAAATTATTTCTTTACTTGATTATTTCACATATTAAGTGGTATGATCACTGAGGCAGGAATTTTGTTTTATTTGTCTTTAGATCAATCTCTAACACTTGACACAGTGCTTGCTTGGCTGACAGCAGGCATTCAATAAATATTTGTGGAAAAATTAAATTGGTAAATCAGCATGACACATATCATCTTAATTGTAATAAAGAAAAACTTAAATTAAAAAATCTAATCAGCATCTTTTTATAGCAATAGTTTTGATAAGTCTGTTAGTAAGGTGTTTGCATAATAGATTACAAACATCAAATATGTTCAACAAATTTTTCTTTATATAAATAAAAACAAATGCATCTATAAATTTTTATTCTAACAATTATATAATTCAATGTCTCTTTGAAAATAAAATTTTGCTACTTACAAATAGAAATCTACAGACTTCTCCCTTGTAATCTCTCTCCATCACTTCTTCTGTTCCCTCTCTTCTTTTAACTAAAGATTTCCTTATATAATACCTCAATATAGTTTATCTTTACTTGTATTTCTTGTTATGTCATCAATTTGTTAGCCATTTGGAGGGGAAGCAGGGTGACTTGTGGTTAAGAACATGGGCTTTGAGTCAGGTGGACCTGAACTAGGTCACTTTCTAGCTATGGGATGTTGAACGAATGACAGGTTCACTCTATGAGTCTGGGCCTCTTCTGTAAATTAAAAATAATGATAGTACCTAATGGATAGCATCATTGTAAGAATTAGATGAGATAATGTATGTACAGCAAGTAGCAAAGAGTCTAGTGCATACTAAATTCTAATAAGTATTAATTATTACTACTGTTATTACTGTTATCATACAAGTAGTTATGGGGACCACGCTCTCCTTGCACCACAAAATGAAGTAGGAATGAGATGCAAATTTAAATTCTTCACATTACTTGCTTTGGAATCTAGAGAAATCTTCCAAATTTACTCCATAATCCAACTTTACTCCCATCATCAACTGTTCTAAAGTAATCTCCTCAGATGTTTCTAACTTCAACTCATTTTCCTGGCCTTCTGCTATTTGGGATTATTCTATAATTTCAAAATGAGAGCTACGGCTGCCAGATTTCCTTCAAGAAATGAAGTACTATACGCTGGAAAGAATCTTAAGGAAAGAGTATCGCTAAGATTCTGTGGTGAGTTTAAATCTCTTTAAAAAGGCAATATGGGAAACAGAAGTCAGAGAAATAGGCAAGGGAAAACACAACATTGTATTAGCCAATGGCAACCTCCTGTAGTGGGAATCCAGATAGGTAATCACAGAGAAAGATAAAACATAGGTTGTCCATGAACAAGAAGACTTTCTTTTTTAAGGAAATGTACAAGAGTCCAGGACTTTTACATAGGGCATGGTTTGCTTTCCTGTAATGTTATTTTAAACCTTCTCTCTTTTTTTGTGTGGTTAAGAGAAATCTTTTTTTTTTAATTGCATTTTAGGTTTTGGGGTACATGTGAAGAACATGCAAGATTGTTGCATAGGTACACACAGGGCAGTGTGATTTGCTACCTTCCTCCCCATCACCTCTGAAGATGTTTGTAAGATTAAGATGTTTGAAACATCAATTTGTAAGATGTTTCAAAGTATAGCTATTGAAAAACAAAGAGGATTTAAAAAAAAAAAAGCCCTGTTTTGGAGAAGAGAAAACAAAGAGTCAGAAAAAGAAGAAAACTAGAGTTAAGTTAAGCAGAGAAGGAGTGGGCACTAAATCCTTAGGACTCCTGCTATGGGTAAGGCACATTCTCTACAAGGACTTTTACTCAAAAGATAATGAAAAGATTTTCCAGATTACAAACTGAGAAACTAAGCAATTGACAGGATAGCATATCATCATGACTTGCAGGGCCATAAATCAACAAGTAAGATAATAACACGTTTATCTGCTCTACAAATTAGATGTAAGGATGACTCTGCTTGATTCTGGCTTCCTTCCTTTTCCATGTACAAAATTTTCAAAGTGAAGCTCTTAATTTGAGACACTGAATATTTCACATTCAGAAAGATTTCTTCAGGAGAAGGCAGATTCCCTCGCCAGAAGCTCCAAACAAGCTTTCATGTAAATTGTCTGTATATCCTATGATTTCAACTAAATAATAATTTCTGCATCTACAGAAAGGTTTAACTTAGCTAAATATAAAATGTGTTTAGTTATCTGAGATATTATCTGAACATCACTTTTATATAAATACAGATTAACTGTTAATAAAAGTCTATAACCTGTATTCAACAGGATAATTAAAAAACAAAGTTACAAGCTGCTCATACCTTTAAAAATAAATATTGAAGTAATAAATAACCACTCCCTGAATACTTTCACTTCCTTTAAAAATAAACACAAAAGACAATCACATAGCAAGAAACTGACTACTCCGTATCTTGAAGAAATGTTATTCCAAAGATGAGATATGCTGTCAATAAGAGAATTTTTTCTAAAGTTCTCATAAGTATAGGGATATAATATGGTTTCAATGATAAGTGTTCTTGGAAGTTAACATTTTACCAATGAGAAAGTTAAACAAGTTTTTCAAAGCATATTCTCATCCCATCAATTCAACTGTTGTATTCATTTTTAGGCACAGAAACAAACGGTGAAAGGTTTGCTAGACTAAAAGATAATCTGTTACTGACCAGCTATGTGATTATCTTTCCCACTAAATTGCCTCATCTTCAGGACCTAAAAATTGCCTGTGATCTCTAGGGTCCTACTCTCAAATTACTCTTCTATACTTAAAGTAGGATATCTATTCACACTTTGCAATATGTCCATGTTTTGGTTGTATCTTATTTTGTGGTCTGGAGACCTTCTAAGAACAGAAATTAAATTTTCTAAAGTAGTTCTCTACTAAGCAGTATCTGACCCATCATCTTTTCATAACAGAATAAAAAACATAAATGAATCTGTTAAGTGACTTATTTCCTCATCTTTAATAAGAGTGCTTAACTATATAAACAGTAAATGAAAAACTGATTTCACAAATGAAAGATCTATTAGAGTTAAAATACATCACCTACTTGACAATATTAAAGACTATTATCACTGAACTGCTATGTCTCTAAACAAGCAACAAGACAGTTTTAATAAACCACTCTGATAGCTCTGCAAAAGTTTTCAGATATTTAAAGAAAATTGGTTCTTTTAAAAACTTGTGAACTTCTCACTTTAAATTTTGTAGCAGCAACCCCAAGTTTCTTACTGCTAATTAATGAAAGTCAATTTAATATAATATACTATTTTATCAAACAAAATTTCCATTTCTGAAAAGGTCAGAAACTCACCATCTAAAAAAGTACTATTATTAGTTGAGGTTTATATTTATTAGACAATCCAGCTTTGAAGGTAAAATTATGACACTGATTCATTTTCTAACTAAAATCTCAAATTAATGTTCTAAAAAATAGAACAAGGGTAAACACTTAAAAATAGTTACATTTTAAATTGAATCTGAGGAAGTTAGAATCTATATTAGATACTGAATTGTACTTACATTGCTAGTTCTACGTGTTACTTACAGGACACTTCAAGTAAATCATTTAGGCACTATGAATCAGTTCCTCATGTATAAAATGTAATTATTATCCTTTGGTATTGACAATTTAATGTCTAATTCGGTAGTAAGGAATTTATCACAAATATATACAAATATCTAAAGTATGTGTCTATACCATAACGATTAGTCAACTCTTAATTTTCCAAAACAAAAATATTAAGATGACCAGGTTCAGCAAAAATCTGAATATTGAATCAACTTAATGGGCCTTTTTTCCCAGTAATTTTACTCTCTATGAAATGGAGAACAAAGATTTTTCTGTTTTTTCTTCCATCAGCATTATTAACATAAGGCTTAAAATTCTGGTGGACTGAATTTGTACACTGATGGCAGAAGTCCATACAAAGAGCTACACATAAACGGGTACCCCTGAAGAAATCAAGTATAATGTGTGTCAGTAGTGATTAAGACTACAGGTACAGAACATGAAACAGACAAAACTGCTTGAAAGAACTACTTGTGGGAATTAGAATTAAGGAAATGATATTTGTTTTTTACTTTTTCTCCTTTGTTATGCTGTAATCTTTAAAAATAATGACTATATTCCTTTTCTAAGCAAAAAATATAAAAGGCTAGATCATAAGTACAGAGGCCAAGCACTGTTTCCCATACAGCAGAAACTCAATTCTAAAAAAAATTCTGAATAAGTAAATAAAGGTACGCATTCTACCTTGGAGAAAGGAAACTAAGAAATACATTCTCACTAATGGTTCAAGAATGAAAAAGCAGTTATTGTTGATAATGCCACATCTATGTTTTACTGAGAGACTGGAATATTCACACAGCTTCCCTCAGCTCTTACTTTGCATGTAATATTTATTATTATACAGCACTTACAAAATAAAGGAAAAATGAATAAATCTTAAGAGAATAAGAAAGTGTAAATAGCACTGGTATGTATGATTAATAAAATGTAGTGATTAAAGCCATGGAACATAATAGAAATATGCAGGAATCATGTGGGAGAGAGAAAAAAGTAAGTAGGTAATTATACTGTGTGGTTTATAAGATTTTAATTTTAAAATTTAGCATAAACATACTTGTGCCCTCTGGATTTAAAAAAACAAAAACACAAAAAGAGAAAGCTTTGCAAAACCCATGCAATGTACTAAAAAAGATCACTTAACTGATACAGCCCTCCCCCGAAAGTCAATTCCATGCTCCCGTGCAGCTCAGTGGCGGGAGACATCACCAGCATAGAGTACCTTGAAGAGGTATTTGGAGATGAGCCAGCCATCTGCAACTTTGGGAAATCTCTTAAAAAAAAATAACAACACAGAGATATTTAAGAAACCTGCCATCATGTTTATAATTCCAAACTGAATAGCCCAATAATATGGCTACATATATATAATTTTGAAACAGTAAACACTACTTTTACCTACTAAATAAATGAACTCTGTTAAGATAAATATGACCTACACTTGGCAAGTAAATGAAGCTAGTTCCTTGTAGCCTATTGTATTGGAGAGGCTAGGGTGTCTATACATCATAGAAATATGTGAGCAGAAATTGTTCCCTGTTTACTTTTACCTCCAATATTCTTTCTCAGATCTAATAAACTGATGAGTACAATAGACCTCAAGATGAGTGATAGCTTGACTGAACTTGCTGGCTATGCACCTCAGAACTTGTAAGATTGGTTAGGAAAAAAATCACTCCTTTGGAACTATATGGCTCAGAAACTTTCCAACTTTAGAATTTAATACACATTTTTAAATGTTAACTTTTCTAAAAGTTATAAACAAATATATTTTAAAATGTAGCAGTTCTCTTTTTTTTTGCTTAAGAATTGTTACAACTTTTGTTTTCTTCCTTGTATGAAAGCAGCACTTAGATATGACATAACATATTGTCAGTCTAACCAACATTGACTAAATGCCTACTCTGTTAAAAACACTGTTTTATTTGCTATAGCTTCTAATTCTTGTTTAACAATCACCAACTGGAAAAGTACTAGAAATTCTTGCTATGTTTTTGGGAAATTGCTAGTATAATAATATGGGAAAACTCCAAAGTCAAATTTCTGAAATAACATTTCCTCCTCTCATAGTCAAACACTGAAATCTCGAAAAGCACATGGTCGCACACCTTTCCAAACACTTAGATCCGTTATAAAAACCAAATAAAAGACAAACACGTATAGTTAGTAATGTGGCATGAAAAATGAAAGGAAGAAGATACATACAGTTGTGCCACATCTATGCATCTACAATTCACTTTCTATCATCTCACTTCTGTAACATTTCAAACAAATATTAAGTTTGGAAACACACATATCCAAAATGATCTATAACCTGGTGTGCTAGTTAAAGCCCATGTTAGAACATGATGTTCTTGCTACAGCTACAATGAACAAAAATGAAATTTCTCAATATTGAAAAGTAAATCAGAATAGAATGCTTTTCATCGCAAATAACATCAATTCTTAACGTTTAAACTACATTTAAACAAAGTTCTCTATATTGTTTGTCATTTATACATCTAAAAACTTATCAAAGTAAAAGCACTTTCCATGAAAACCTGACTTAAAGATATTTTACTACAAAAAATGTACCAAATAAGCTGCATCATGACCAGATTTATGGCATTTCTTAATCAATCCCTCATGTAAGGTGAAAAACAATTACTGAAAATATTATAAAACTCAATTTATAGGATTTTTGTCTGTCTGTTTGATTTTTAAGAGACAGGGTCTTACTTTGTTATCCAGGCTGTAGCTCAGTAATATATTCATAGCTCACTGCAACCTCAAATTCTTGGGCTCAAGCAATCCTCCTGCCTTAGCCTTCTGAGTAGCTAAGACTACAGGCTCATGTCATCAAGCTCCACTAATGTTTTTGTTTTTTTGTAGAGACCAGATCTTGCTTTGTTGCCCAGGCTGGTCTCAACCTCCTGTGCTCAATGGATCAACCTGCCTTGGTCTCCCAAAGCATTGGGATTACAGTTGTGAGCCACCATGCCTGGCCTAGATTATGTTTGCTATCATTATTATTATTTTTTAATCTGTTAGTATGCTAGCCTCTGTGCCCTGATTTTCATTTTGGCTGTGAAAGACCATGGGAACATTTTCTTAAAATTTTCACTAATTTGTAGAATTTAATTGCTTTAAGTATAATTCAATTATTTTGTAGAATTTAATTGCTTTAAGTATAATTCAATTATATTCAATTAAGTATAATTCTGATTAAACCAATCTAGACAAGTTAAAAGCCACCAGAAATATCTAGATCAAACAACAATCCACTATATTCCAAGTTATCTGTAGTCACATTTCAACAACTCTCATCTTATAGATGAGACAAGATAGGCTCAGAGACAAAGCTACCAAGACCCAGCAATCACTGTTCTCTGTCACCTAATGGTTCTCTAACCTTAGGAGACAGGCAGGACCTGACGGAGGATAATTAGTCAGGTGGTTTTCCTGGTTGGTTAGAGTTCTCACAGACAACCCCAGAAGGAAGGGGGAAAAATGAGGTAGTGAAACATGTAATGAGAGGGAATATAAATATTTTTCATATAAAATTTAAATCCTTAGCAAGCAGAAGTGCTGCCCTTTAAAAAATAAGTGAATGACAAAGCTCACATTTATTTTAAAGTGCCCCAAGGCTAGTTTGTAGAAGGGATTCTTATTTGCCATGGAAACAAAACCTTTTGTTATAAAATACATAATGTTAAAAGAAAGTGAAACAGTAGCTTAGAAAAACAGTTGAGACAAGACCAAATAAACCAGGTTCAGAAAGGTTTTGCTCAAGAACAAAATTCATTCAAATACAACAGTATGATCATACCATATAAAGTTATTTTAGGTGTTAGTTTCTGAAATCTCAGGAAAAGGGAGAATCAACTCAGAGATGAATATGCAATAGAAGAATGCTTAATTATACTGAAGATAGACAGCACTTCCTGATCCAAAAAGTATACAGTTTTCAATATGAAATAACTGATGCATAATTTTATTAATATTGAAATTAGCCCTCACACAAAAAAGATTATTGGCCACTGCCTTAAACAAACAAATTTGCCTTGATAAGACTGAATATGTTTCTAATTCATGAATGTGATATTTATCTTCTATATTTTTCCTGTCAGTCATGTTCCCACTTTGTTTTCTATTCATTTCCATTTCTTTGATCATTGAACATCATGATTGACATAATCAAAGAATTTTAACACTTATGCAGAAAGTAAACTTTTAGCTTTTGCTATATTTATTCTAATTTTTTTCTCCTTGTCTGCATATATATTTTTTCCTAATAAACTTGAAGGTAAATATCTTTATATAAATGTACCAAGATGGATCATGGAAAAGACTCCTAGATAAAATGGTCTAGGAGTAAAGGGATTGCCATTTGTAAGGCAAATAAACTAATTATAAATGATCAGAAATAATTCAGACTTTTCACAAGTCTTGTCTATAAATTAGTAGTATCATACAGAACATATTCTATTCATTACTAATATTGTTAAGGTAGGTTGCTTAAAATTTTGAATCTTCAACCTTGTATTTATATATGAAAACAATTTTTCAGTGAAGCAACAGTTACAAATGCAGTAGTACTGTAACTGAGCTAACAATGAAGCAGTTCATAACTTTTCTTAAGCTTTAAAATACTATTTTAAAATGCCATTTACAGGTAGGTGGTAGGTATCAATATCTTCAAAACAAAGTATTTGTTCATTGATTTAATAATTTTTAAAATATTGAGTACCTAAATTGCGCAAATCTTTTGAAGTTTAAAAGTCATAACTTTAAAGGAAAGAAAAGGTAGAAAAACTTTTAATAAAAATAAAGATCACAGGAACAATGGCAACCAACTAAACAGTGGCAACTATTTATGAATAGAGATTAATACCATCCATCAAATTAAGGTACTTGAATTTATGGATAATAAGGGTAATAAAAGAATAAAATATATCAAAGATATCTGTACTACAGGGTCATCTCAGTTTCTTATACCAAGAAATCTAGGATCCAGGCTCAATGGATTACACCTGTATTCCTGGCCCTTTGGGAGGTGGGGAGGCAGGAGGATCATTTGAGCTCAAGAGTTGGAGACCAGCCTGGGCAACATAGTGAGATTCTGTCTCTATACAAGATTTAAAATTTTTAAAAAGATATATCTATGAGAGCTATTTAAAAAATCAGAGAGTTAAAGTAAAAATATAGTATATATGCAAACACACATAAGTATTTGGCATTCAAAATTCTAACATACTTCAATCAACTCTTAATCATAGTATATACTAGAACAAATAATATATCAGAATGGAAATTTTTCATTAGACTTCTAGTAAAGCAGCTTGCAGTGTAATATTGTTTACCTTAAGGAAAAGACATAATAATACCATCAAATGATTTTGAAAACAACAACTCCTTGAGATAAGAATATCAGAAACACGTAGGAACTGAGATTATTATGATACCCTCCTACAATGAACAAAGTCCACTAAATTGTGCAATCTTTCTCCTGTTCAGTAAAATGAAAAATATTTACTTTCTTTAGATGAGCAATATTAGAGCAATAAAGCAAAAATTGAATTACATAACAAAATTAACAAGAAAGCATTTTTCCATTATTAAAAATAAAGTATGACTTGATCATTACAAGTACTGTAAATTACTCTATGCTAATTTGCAAAAATCACAAGGTCAAACTGGGAATGTCTCATCAATTTTCTGACAGAAACTCAAAGGGCTACAAACAGATAAACACAAATGAACTAACATCAGAGATCATCAATTTCTGTTAAATACATGAAATTTATTCTACATTGTAGAATAAAACATTTCTTTAACTCTTATTAAAAAAAGACATTCAAAAATATCTTAGATAATTTTTATCAATAGTAGTATTTAGTTAAGTCTTTTTATAATGTCATCTTCTTTGTGGTACTCTCCCTTCCCCAGAATCCAAATCTAAATTTTGAATCATTTTATTTAAAGAGATTTTGAAAGTGATGTTAATGTAAAATAAACCTGAAAAATTCCCCAGGGAACCAAAGCTTAGAACCATTAATAAATCTCTCATTCTGTGAATAAGTAAATATTTAAATTGGGGGATGAAAATGACTCCTTGAAAATTCTGGCTTGGTTATAAAATACCAAGATCATTTTGTCGATATGTCTTAAACAAATATAAATATTTAAGATTTTTTTTTACCCAGAAATACCTATTAACAAACACAGTAATTAAGAGTGCTACAATAATATGACTCAAACAGAAGGAAGTACCCAAATATATGAGAATTGTGT